GGGGTAGATCCGAATGTCGTAACGCCCTCGAGGAGTCAGACACTGCAGCTCCCGGAAGATGCAGATGGCATCTCCCGTGGCCTGGATTACATCCGCCTTCGACAACACATTCTGGGCAAAGGCCTGCAAAAAGCACACATTGGTAACCAAGCAGCAGGCCCTGCTCCCAGGCCAGCCAATGCCTGCTCAGCACCATCTGCTGCCAAGGCAACCAGGGGACGCCTCACCTCAACAGGGTCCACACCATCCTCCTGGGTGGGAGGGACATAAAAGCGGACCTCCATGAGAGACACCTCTGCGTCATCGTTTTGGTGGAATTCCAGTGTCACCTCATTCTTGCCAGTGGTGCACTGGGACACATTGCTGAGGGGTATCTCAAAGACTGGCTGGTCACCAATGTCAAAGGAAAGCAGCTGCCCTGTGAGGAAAGGGCTTGTCAAGCCACAAGCTCCTCCCCTTAAGTCTGCATAAGCAACATTCCCACCAAACTTGAGTTCCACAGAGACAGGATACTGGGGTTAGTCTCTTTACACTGTAACCCCAACCCCAGGCCCAGTGCCCAGTAAATTGTAGGTACTCAATAAACACACGATGAACATGCAAACAGATAGGAAACCAGAGACAGTGGCAGAAGGAAAAGAGCAAAACAAGTAAAAGGCTGAAGCCCTTCACCCTATCTTCCTCCCCAAACCTCAGTCTTCCCCAGGACTCACCACCAAATTTCACTGTCCCCCAGTTCCAGCCCTTCACACAAAGGTCCTTCTCCATTAGCTCAAGGCGATAGTGAGTTTTGAAGAAATCAGAGAGTTTCTCAAACTCCTGTGGGTGGAGGGAAGAAAACGCAATCCCAGTAAACCCTGGTGGCCTTAACACCGACTTGAATGTCCTGGGATTATCTATTTCTGAGAAACTGTCCCAAATAGGCTTTATAAGAAACTCTTGCTGCCGGGCGTGGTGGCTCACGCCTGTAATCCCAGCACTTTGGGAGGCCGAGGCGGGTGGATCACGAGGTCAGGAGATTGAGACCATCCTGGTTAACACGGTGAAACCCCGTCTCTATTAAAAATACAAAAAATTAGCCGGGCGAGGTGGCGGGCGCCTGTAGTCCCAGCTACTCGGAAGGCTGAGGCAGGAGAATGGTGTGAACCCAGGAGGCAGAGCTTGCAGTGAGCCGAGATCGCACCACTGCACTCGAGCCTGGGCGACAGAGCAAGACTCCGTCTCAAAAAAAAAAAAAAAAAAAAGAAACTCATGATGACTTAGCAACCCAGCTCTAACATTGTTTAAAAGATGGTTTAGAGAGGTTGCTTCTAGCCACTGGATCTGACATTCCTGGTTATGGGTCATCTGATTTTATAAACTTTGTATAGGTATTACTTTAATGAAAGTGGAAATTAAAATCAAATAAAGCCTTTAACTCAAGCAGTTCAAAATGGAAACCCACACTTTAAGACATCAAGCTAGCCAGGCGCAATGGCTCATGCCTGTAATCTCAACGCTTTGGGAGGCCAAGGTGGGCGATCCCTTGAGTCTGAGAGCTCAAGACCAGACTGGGTAACGTGGCGAAACCCCGTTTCTACCAAAAATTATGAAAAATCAGCTGGGCATGGTGGCATGTGCCTGTGGTACCAGATATTCAGGAGGCTGAGGTGGAAGGATTACTTGAACCCACGAGGCAGAGGCTGCAGTGAGCGGAGATTGCGCCACTGCACTCCAGCCTGGGTGACAGAGCAAGGCCCTGTCTCAAAAAAAAAAAAAAAAAAACACAAAAAGACATCAAGCTAAGATCCTGAACCTTGATAAAAGTCACAGGTAGAAACTAGTATCTAAATCAAGACAGAAGAAAATCTTCTGGAGTCAAGGCACACAGAAATTCACAAGACTTCAACACTCAAAGCCGAACACTGATTGCCTCATGGCCTCACAGTCCTGCTCTAAGGAGCCCAAACTAGCAATCACAGGGTTACATGAGGAAGGAACCTCGAGTCTCTAGAAGATTAAAACAAGATGATGCAGTAAAAAGGGGGTTTATAGCTATGGGACAGCTCACCGATTCTCGGAAGCCATCATACTTGTAGACATGGCCATTCTTTGTAAGCAGTTTAAGTCCATGGCCCAGAGCAACACGGCGCCAGATGCCTTCTGTTAACTCCCCAGCCTGGATGTTGTCCACTTTCCCCGTCTTGCTGTTCTTGAAGATGATGCCCTGGCGGCTCAACCTCAGTCGACCATCATTCTGTAAGAAAAGCAGGCCCAGATGCATGGGGACAGTACACAGCATGTCCTGGGTCCAGTTCTACCCAACACACTTTCCAGGTGCGAGTGGGCTGGGCAGATTGTCAATGCAGGAGCAACAGCTGAGGTGCAAGGAGTCTAGATTCCAAACCAGGCTCTGGTATTTAGAATCCTTAACAGATTCTCAGTTTCCTCATTTGTAAAACAGGAATTGGGAACTGAAGAGCATATACGGTCCCTGTAACTCTGAGACTATCTCTCGGTATTGCCTCGTGTTGGGGGAGACACTAGGTACACGTTATACTGAGTCTTCTTTTTCCAAAATAACATTACCAAAGCAAGCTCTCGTTAATGGACAAAAACTCTACCCTCCTTCCTTCTCTCTACTTGTATCAACTGCCCAAGCCATTCTCACCATGGAGCCTTTCACCTCCTGATAGATGTCGTTGAACTCCAGTGTCTCTGCCATGTCGACCCCTGCCTGTGGTGGCCTGGGCAGAGCCCCAGGCTGCACAAGGGAAACCGAGTAAACTGGGGGCTGGGCCCCAACTCCTGAGTGGGTGGGCGGATGCTCAGCAGGTTGGGAATCTAAATTCAAGAGGAAGACAGATAAGCATGAAAGACAGCACCTCGCTGTGCTCACGGATGGAGCACAGCAGCAACTCCCAACTGCGCCTGGGATGTCTCAGGATTTCCTCTGCCTGGAAACCTACAGACGGACGCTGCAGCGCTCGAGGGTCCAGGCCTAAGCCCAGGTGGAGAACCGGGCCTGGAATACCGCTGACACCCAACCCGATGCCCGCTCTAGCCGCTCTGGCGGGAGCCATGGCAACGAGCAGCGGAACCCCAGGGTCAGCCCGGAGCCCGCACCTCGCACGCGCCCCAATCCAGCTCAGAGTGCAGGGTTTCCCTCGCAGCGCTCCCACCACCCCGCGGGCCTCCGGTTCACCCCCGCCCCACAGGATGGATTCGCCCGCTCCCCGCGGTTTCGAACGCGGAATGGTCCATGTCGAGCGTCCCTTGGGGGAGGGGCGCCCCTGCCTTCCTGGGACCGGGGGACGACCACCACCTACCTCCTCAGGCTGCAGCCTCGCGAGGGCCCCGGCGCAGGAGGTGGGCGCGCTGGGGGGACGCGGGGGGGCGGGGGATGGGGGGAACACCGGGGAAGCTTTTCCCGCGTGCGCGGCCCCGCGTCCCGCCACCGGAAGCCGTGCACAGGCCACAGAGACGACGAGCTGGCTAGAGAGACGCGAGCCCGGCCCGCCTGCGAGACAGTCGCATAGAGCGTCAGCGACTCTGGAGGACCTGAGGGAAGAGTGGTTGCCGTGAAGTCTCTCTCAGCCGGGTGGAATCTGCCTAGAAAATTTGTGTAGGGCTCTTTAGAAACTACAGACACTTCTTCAGTGGAGACTAGATACTGAAGAGAAATTGTGTAGTTGTATTGTATCAGACTTAGCTTAGTACAGGAATGGGGTGGGGGTGTGTGTTGAAATGATGCGTGCCCGTTTCTCTGCAAAATAGTTTCTGTGTCATGGAAAGGAGTCGATGGAACACGAAGAAAAGTATTTGAACAGTTGTGGGAAGAAACGACCTCTCGCACTGGCTGCGGAGAGAATGCGGGTGTTGGTGTCACCGTGGGTGCACTGCTTTCTGGCTGACCTGTCAAGTTCGCCGTCTACACCCAAAATTTTCACATCCCTAACCGAAATGTATAGGTCCCCCCAAGAGGCTGACAAATGGCCGTATCCAGTTCAGGTCCTGGTATCAGATTCACTTTGGAGCCAGAACTGATTTGAAACCACATCATCCTGGGGTTGCGGAAGCCAGCTCTCCCTCATATAGTCCCAGAGTGCATTTTTGCAACATCAGAGACCAGACCTGGAAAATATATTTTAGTTTTTCTACCCCAACCTCTTTTTACTGATGGGAATACTGAGACCCAAACGGGAGTGAGTTGCCCAGGGTCTCAGTGCGTTGGCAACAAGGCTAGGACACAGACCTCCTTACCACCACCAGTCCAGTTATCTTCTGTCATAATCACAGTGACTGTATGTTCAGAATGATTGATGATATGTGTCCTACATGAAGACATTAGTACAGAATATGTAAACTCAAGATTTCCCTGACAATCAGTACACCAGCTTGCTAACTCAATCCTGAGGTAAGAGACAACAGGAATGCACCCTTCTCCCCTGAATTCATAGCTTTAACCTCTGAGTAGTGGCTATTCCAGCATTATCTAGCAATATAAATTCAACTGGGTTTAATAGATAGATATTGAGGGCCTATGACTAATTTAGCACACTTCTCGGATTTGAGGAACTTGAACAAGACGAAAACATCCCTGGCTGGGCGCAGTGGCTCACACCTGTAATCCCAGCACTTGGGGAGGCCGAGGTAGGCAGATCACTTGAGGTCAGGAGTTCAAGACCAGCCTGGCCAACGTGGAAGCCCCGTCTCTATTAAAAATACAAAAATTAGCCAGGCATGGTGGCGGGTGCCTATAATCCCAGCTACTTGGGAGGCTGAGGCACAAGAATTGCTTGAACCCAGGAGACAGAGGTTGCAGTGAGCTGAGATCGTGCCACTGCACTCCAGTCTGGGCAACAGAGCGAGTCTCTGCCAAAAAAAGAAAAAGAAAAAGAAAAAAAAAAATGGAAGGAAGGAAGAAAAGAAAGAGAAGGAAGGAAGGAAGAAAGAAAGAAAGACCCAGCCCCAACCTTTCGGGAAAACATAATCTAACAAATGATTTTGATAAATAAACTGAAAAAAAAAAAAAAAAGAAGTGCTAACTGCTATGCTACAGGTAGAGTGAAACTCATTACCAACTGGAGTTAGAAATATGTGAGTCTTTACTCATCACACCCCAGAAGACCCAGAAAAACTTTCAAGAGACCCTCTCCCCCTGACCCATGCCACTGGGGGCAATTCAGGAAAGGAGGGGACGGCTGCAGAACTGGGTGGAATTTGGCTGGCACTCAGGAATGAAGGCGGTCTTCAGTTCAGGCAGGCTGTTAGGTGACTAGGGGACGGGAAATTGCAAAGGGCTTTAGGGAGAGCGTGAGCAGCTGGTGAGCTGGGATGAGGATGCTGCAGAAGAGAACAGAACAGAAACAGTAGACAGAGTGCAGATAAAACATTAGTCCCAGAGGGCTCCAGCCAGCTACATCCCAGGCAATCAGGAGCCCAGGATTGGAGACCCCACCCCTGCTGTGACATCACAGGGGAGTGGGGTGGAGACGAACAAAAAGGGGGTCCCCCGCCCTGGTCTCTTGGAAGCCAGAGTATCAAGAGAAGAGAGAACCTGACTAGGGTTGCCTGGCTTAAAGGGACAGGCTCCCCATTCCTCCGACCCCTCTAAGCTGCCCCCTCCAGGTCGTGATCCTGTCTCCCTGTCCTGTGGGACCTCCCTCTCCTGAGGCCACCACTGGGCCCCCTTCTGAGTGTCCCCTGAGCACTCTCTCAGTATGAACTGCATATCCGACTTCTTCACCTATGAGACCACCAAATCGGTGGTTGTGAAGAGCTGGACCATCGGGATCATCAACCGAGTAGTTCAGCTTCTGATCATCTCCTACTTTGTGGGGTGAGTCTGTGGCCCTTCAGGTCCCTGGCGGGGTGGGCTGCCTGGCATCCCATCTTCACCCTCCTGCCTCAGAAACCTGCATCCAGCTTCCTGAGCTCCTCCCCTCCCGGGGAAACACTTTCTTCTGTGGAGCCGAGTCCTAAAGACTGGCCTCTGCCACCCCCACCTAGGACCTGAATTCACCTAGATGAATTCTTTTCCCAGTTCATCCTCCAGCGTTGAGAGTGGTTTCAAGACGCACACTCGGAGGAGTAGGGTCCCTGCCCTGGCACTGCCCTCCACCGAGGGAGGGCTCAGGAGCTCCATCTCCACCCTCCCTGCTCTCATCTCTCCAACCAGAGAACAGGCAGACCCCCTCCCACATCTTCAAATTCCCCTCAGTCAACTCTTCGGGGCCTCAAAAAGACAAGACAGCACAGAAATAGGGAAGGGAAGGTACTGAGACAAGGGGGTGGTGGCAGGTTGGTCAAGTTGGTGGCCGGGAGGGAAAGAGAGAACTGGGCCCATTTCAGAGTGAGGAATTTCCTTCCGGCATGGATGGGTGAGATGGTGAGAGAGAGAAAGGCAAGGGAGAAGCGCTGTGCTCTTGAAGGGGAGGACAAGGAGGGAACTGCCCCTTGATGAGGAAGCAAACACAGGCCCAAGGGAAGAGTGGCCAAGGAGAAAAGGAGCTTTTCTGAACACAGTGCAGCTTCCTCTCCAGGAATCCAGAAATGCTCCCCTTTGTCAAAAAGCCTAAGTTCCCCACCTCTCCCTGACCCGGTGCCATGTAACCCATCCTAGCAGTTGCTTAAGAGCCAGGAAGGTGCAAGCATCCCCTCTCAGCCCCCACCGCCTGGAAGCACACACCTACACACACACACACACACACACAGGCGCGCGCGCACGCACACACAAAGGGCTCTGGAGCAGACAATGGCTGGGGGAGAATGCAGGTCCTATCCTTCTTGTGGTCATTTCCACGCACTGGTGGGCACCAGGAAATACAGGCAGAAACCTCGAAGGTTTTCTTTCCTGGGGTGTGGGTCTCCAATCTTATGCTGTTCTTTGAGACAATGGGTCTGTGCATTCGAGGCAGCAAGCCACTGACTGTTAGGAGTTAGTTCAAGCGGGTCAAAGGAGAATCCTGTGTGACTGTGGGCTGAAGCTGCATGCAAGCCTGCTTGCCTGAAAAGTTGAAGTTTATGTGAGGGTGTGGAGGGAAAGGTGGCTAGATGTGACTTTTTAGGTGATTGTTTGCTCTGTGTGCTGGGCAAGTGCTGGTAGGCTTCAGTGGGCAGGTATTGTAAAAAGGCTGCACCATCCAGTGCTCCTTTGGGAGATTTTAGAAAAGGGATTCCAGCTTTGGAATAGCATTAAATGGCCATGAAGTTCCCTTCCAATGTTGAGGTTTTGTGAGATACGAGGTTTGCAAATGTTCGCTGTCTGCATCTCCAGAGCTTGGCTCAAAGTTGGTTCTTAAATGTTCTGTGTTCACGTGTATATTCAATGCTGTGGTTGTTTATAGCCACAAGATGGTATGTTGGCCCAGGTGAGTGCAAAAGCTGGCTCAGCACATTCCCCATCTGGCCTGGCTCCATTGGCTCCAGGCAGAGATTGATGGGGGATAGAGAGTGGGCTCCTCGACCAGCCCTCTCAGCCCCCACTGCCCTTGTCTCTCCCTCATCATGATCAGATCGAATCCTCCAGGTCTCAGGGCTGGAGCCCAGCCTGCTGGAGCGAGCATGCGAAGCTCTTTGGCATCTTAATTTCCAACCCCATCCATCTCCCAGCCTGACAGCTCCCCACGAGACACTGCCTTCCAGTTACATCAGCGCCCCCTGCAGCCCAGTCCCTTGACCTGAGTCCCATCTCCGTGTACGTGAACCCATGCACGTTGTGACTTCATGAGTCCACCATCATTAATTTAGCAAAAATGTACCAGCATCTCTGCATGCCACGCACTGTGGACTGAGGACGGAATGGTGGGCAAAAGCAGACAGGGTCCTTGCCCTCGTGGGGCTTACAGCGGAAGGCAAGAGATGGGCATTCATCTGATGATGTCCACAAATGTGAAATGTCAACTGTGGCTTGGAGGTGAACAGTTATAGGAGAGCCGCTTCTGTGAAGGTGTTTGGCCTGGTCAGGGAGTAAGGGAAGGTTTTCTGGAGATGTAACGTTTTAGCCAAGACCCGAAGGATGAGTAGGAGCACCCCAGGTGAAAGAGGGAAGAGAGTTCAGGGCAGAGAAACCCACCTCTGCAAAGGGAAGGAGCCTGGCAAACGGGAAAGAAAGGAAGGTCGTTGTGGCTGGAGCCGAGGGAGCAGAGGTGGGTGAGGGTCGTGTACGGTGGATGGGAACGCACACAGAGGCCGGACCTCAGACACCCTTAGAGAGCTTTTGTTTTTACAGGAGATGAATAAACAGAAGCCACGGAAGCATTTTAACCCATGTGTCTGTGGGCACTTTTGTGTGCGCGCGCACGTGAGTTTGAGAGAGAGAGACAGACACGATGAGATCTGAGTTGGGAAGAGCACCGGGGCTGATGCGCCTGGAAGTGGAGGGAGTTGGAGCGGGTGCAGGAAAACCTACTAAGAGGCGGTTTATGGAGAGATGTGACAGTGGCTTGGACCCAACTGAATTTGAAGGGATTTTAAAGGCTATAGTGTTAATCACTGATACTTCAATCTCTTCCCCATCATCCCGACCAGGTCGGCAACCTCGACTCTGCCTCACATGAGCCCATCATTTCTCTGAGAACTTCTCAGAAACACACCACCTGGTCATCTTACATACGCTCTCACCCCCGCCTCTGGCCTCAGCTGCTTGTCTGTGGTTGACTCCATTTCATCACTGTTTTCCTTTACCCACCCCAGGGCACACAGAAAGGCCTGGACTTACCTGAGGTTTCTCACATCTTTCCTGGGCCCAGGTGGTAATCCCCACTCACCTCTGTGGAGTGGGACTTCCTGAGAGCCCATCCCCATTCTGGATCTTGTGGGGACCTGAGAAGCTGAAAGAAATCCCTGGGATCTGAGTCCCTAGAAGCAATAACCTGTGCTTAGCCTGAGGTTGATTTCCAGGGCCTTGGACTTCCCAGGCCTTTGATGCCCCATTGCGCTGAAGGGTCATTGGTGGCCGCTGGAGCCTCTGGCCTCGTCATAGCCCTGCCCTGCCTGCTCTGTTCCTCCCCCATACAAGGCCCAGTTCACAAACTCACCATCTGTATGGCCGCATGCTGTGGTTCATAATATTCAGCCTCATTATTCAACTTCAGATCTTAGGTGGGAGTTCAATACATAAAGCAAGGAGCTGCTCTGGTTTAAAGAGAAGGGTCTGGAATCCCGCCTTCTCAGCTCTCCACTCCATCCTCTCAGCCCAAGGTAGCACTGTGAGGTACCTTGTCAGCACAATTAAGTGACAGATATGGTGGGAAGAGCTGTTATGGTGGGAAGAGCTGTTGGGCTGCCCCATCTTGTTTTTTTTATTGTTGTTGTTGTTTTGTTTTGAGACAGAGCTTTGCTCTGTCCCTCAGGCCGGAGTGCAGTGGTGCAATCTCGGCTCACTGCAACCTCCACCTCCTGGGTTCAAGCGATTCTCCTGCCTTAGCCTCCCCAGTAGCTGGGATTACAGGCGTGTGCCATGATGCTCGACTTTTTTGTATTTTTAGTAGAGATGGGGTTTCACCATGTTGGCCAGGCTGATCTCTAACTCCTGACCTCAAGTGATCTACGTGCCTCGGCCTCCCAAAGTGCAGGGATTACAGCATGAGCCATCATGCCTGGCCGGATGCCCCATCTGGACCAGTCATCCTGGTCCAGAGAGAGGAGTGACTCTCATTCCTGCCTGCCCTCTCCCCCAATATGGAATATAGAGCACTTGGTTAGAAGCCTGGCTCTGACACCAACTAGGAGAGGGCCTCCTAAGAGTGACTTTACGTCTCTAAGTCTCAGTCCCCATATCTGGAAAATGGATTTAGGAATACCTCCTCCCTGGGAGTTATAGGGAAGGGAGGTAACATATGTCAAGTGCCTTGCAGAGATGGTGACTCAGTAATAGATGGCAACTGTGACTACTTCACAAAGACCCCCCCATCACCCCTCCCCCTTTCCCTCTGCCCAGCTCACACCTTCCTAAGAGACCCCTCTCCTCCTCCCACACACACAAGCGTGCACTCTTCACACCCACTCCTCAGCCTCCTCCTTGACTCCCTGGGGGCGGATGGGAGGGTGCTGGGGCGCGGCTCTGGCCTCTCTCCTGCACATCCCACCTGCCAAGGAGCTGCCACACGCCTTCCACTCTATAAATAATAAACCATGAATGCGAGAAGAAAATAGTCAGAGCAGCAGAGTAAATGCCAAGAATTGAAGGCTCAGGCCTGCCCTAGCTCCTGAGCCCTGGCCTCCAGAGACAGACTCAGCCCCTCTGTTCTGGAAATGAAGCATCCCCTTCTTTCTAGCCACCTTGACGACATCCTCAGGCCCCACGAGGCCATTGAAATTCTTCCACTTGTTATTTAAGTCAAAGAGAGAATTCTAATGCGGCCTCTCCGCCCCACCGGGCACAAGAAGGAGCCTTGGAGGAGGAGGAGGAGGAGGAGGTAGGAGATTGGTTGATTGTTCCTTGGAGTCCTCAGCCCTTTCCTCCTGAGACTTTCCTAAGCCAGGAGATGCTTTCACTGGTGATGGAGCAGGAGCTGTTAGGAAAAGCACAGGGTCCAGTTCAGGGGGCCAGCATGGCCTGGCCTTGAGCTGGGACACAGCTAGAGACCTTTGAGTGAAGGGGCTGTGAGTGGTCTGGAGCAGGTTGTCTGGTTAGAGCCGACATACCAGCTGTGTAATCCTGGTCAACTTAGCACCCCCTCTGAGCCTCAGTTTCCTCATTCATGACATGGAGTTAATAACAAAGCTGTCTCAGTAAGAACATAGTGAAAGATCCAGTGCGAGTGCCGCACTGGTTATATAATCGTAATCTGAACTCTGCATCTCCAAATGTTCCTGGACTTTAAGGATGCAGGGCAGGGGCCTCAGAAAACCATTTCCTGAGGATGACACGGAGAAATGTGTCTATTCTGTGGCTAGGCACGTTGAGGCTCGGTTCCAGAAGGGTGTGTTTAGATCACAGTTTGCATCTGCGAATATCCAGCTGCGGCCAGCAGCCATCTTAGCTGGAAGCAGACAGCCTGGGCCCCAGACCTCACTCCCTTCACTCTGCAGGGCCCCAGGCCGTGAGCTAATAATGCACATTTGGGTTTCCTGTGACAGGGAGGCTCCCTTCTCTTCTGCTAGTACGTAATTTGGCAGATGGGATTTCTACGTGAGGCTTACTTCCTTGTGAAATCTGAATGAAACCCCTCCCCTTCCAAAAAAAGACGAAAAGAAAAGTGCTGGGAGATAAAGCAGCACCACAAAGCCCCATCGAAGGCGGTGTTCATGAGATCATTTTACAAGCACGCAAGTCACTCTAAGTGGTGCGTTAATCAGGATGCCGCCCGCCTGCTATAAAGCAGCAATAGGAAAACAGGTAACGCGTTTGAAGCCATTTGCCGGTGCTGTGACTACACCCTTTTTCTCCCGCTCAAGAAATCATTCAGAATTCAAGCCAGTAATACTACCAAAAAAATGATAACTATGTGAGGTAGTAGATATGATCACTAGCATGACATAATCATTCCACAAGGTACAGCCATATCAAAACACTCACACTGTGCCCCGTGAATACATACAATTATTATCAATAATAAATAGGGCTGGGCGTGGTGGATCACGCATGTAATCCCAGCACTTTGGGAGGCTAAGGCAGGCAGATCACTTGAGGCCAGGAGTTTGAGACCAGCCTGGCCAACATGGAAAAACCCCATCTCTACTAAACACAAAAAAGTTAGCCAGGCGTGGTGGTGCACACCTGTAGTCCCAGCTACTCAGGAGGCTGAGGCATGAGAATCGCTTGAGCCCGGGAGGCAGAGGTTGCAGTGAGCCAAGATCGCGCCAGTGCCTGGGTAATAGAGTGACACTCTGACTCAAATAATAATAATAAATAGTATTTATTTATCAAAAATTTAAACTTAAATTAGAATAAAAAGAAAAAAAAAGATTCAAGTGAGCAAAGGAAGCCCCATGATGGAGATAATACCAAACCCTCTCACTGAAAACTGAACAAAGAGCCACTTGCAAATACCCGCTGGTGTTTGCAGTAAATAGGATTGTGGTGTCCAAACTACAAGTGACTGGGACCCCCGGTACGCTCTGGGAGTTACTGCTCTTTGCATGTTCCAACAGTAAGTGACCCCAGAGATCATTCAGTCCAACCTCCACCTGAGGAAGGGGCCTCCTCTCAGCACACCTGCCAGGTGAGCATCACGCTGTCCTGGAGTCTTCCCAGACGTGTGGCACACATGGGGTGACTTCCCGCAGCAGCCGGTTCTGGGATTGAAGTCTTCACCCACCTCCTTATAGAATCCTCAGGTCAGCCCAGCTCCTGCCCCTGCAGCTTCCCAGCCTCTAACTCCTACAGCTTTGTCTTCTCTGGGCTACACAGTCTCAACTTCCTTCCACTCACCTTCATCTGATGTGGTTTTCCAACCTCGTGCCACCCTGGTTAGATGCAGAAAATGCCCTGACCCAGCATTTCCAAAAGTGTGCTCCTCAGTTGCACGAGAGGTCACCAATATTCCTCCAAGACTGGCTTCTGTGGTCAAATAAGATTGGGAGACAGTGAGGTTAACAAAATGTAACAGACGTGTTTGTTTGTCTACATTGTGTTTCTCAGGGAGGGAGGAGGGTTGCATAGCATTTTCTAAACGTATTTGATGAAGTTTTCTCATCTGTCAAATGGGGACGGTGGCAGCATCTACCTCCCAGTGTGCCATCAGGAACAAATACAATCTTGCCAAAGGCTGGAAGTGTGGGATTAAGTGAGGCTGAGCGGGGACTTGAGCCTTGAGGGCTGTGATTGGCGATTTCAAATGGAAAGGCAGGCACTTTATAGGAAAGCAGAGGCACGAGTTGACAGCAAGTATCTGCAAGCCCTACTTGCTGAAGGCGGGGAAAGTCTGAGAAGGAAGGTAGGGAAGGAAGAAGGGAAGGCCTCATCCACATGGTCCCATAATGACTTAAAGCTGCAGGAAGGAGCCAGTACAGGTAAATGACCACTGGGTGGCAGCACAATCCAAGGAATAAGATCAGAAGCGTCTCCCCTCCCTCCTCCCCCAGCCTCCCACCTTCTACCCAACTCCTTTATCTGCCAGGTGAAAGCTCAGCCGCTGCCCCTGCTTCCTTCTCCGTTCTCATCTGACATCTGGGCAGATGGATTCTTCCAAGCACCCAGCTCCCAAGGACCTTCATTGATTTGTTTACTGAGCTACTTTGTGTTGGGCACTTAGGGTACAGCCTTGGGCCAAGGCTGGAACTCACGGGAGAAGAGGCCCGGGATCCTCTGTCCTCTTGTCTCCTGGGTACCTGCCAGAGAAGTGGCCCCCATCAGCAGCACGGAATGACTTTGAGCCATGCATTCTCAATGGGGCCATATGGCCCCCAAGGAGGTGAAAATTGGTTCTCACTCTTTTTATGCATAAAGCACACATTTGCATACAGTACATAAACAGATATCTGTGATATGAAAGTTTCATGGAGGGGGGACCACTGTGGGGGAAATGTCTAGAAAGGCACCTGAGGGGCGGTAATGGGACCAAAGGTGGAGAAACGCTATTCTAAGTCAACCAAGGGCTCACCCTAGGTCTCACGCCTCCAGAAGGAACCATCCGCACACCCTGCCAGGCATGGCCAAGTGTTGGCAGGAAGGTGACCTCTCCCAGTTTCTGTCTGCTGGGTCTGTGGACTCCTCTCTTTCTCTTCATTTCTGCTCTCCTGCCCCAGGTGGGTTTTCTTGCACGAGAAGGCATACCAGGTACGGGACACAGCCATTGAGTCCTCGGTGGTAACCAAGGTGAAGGGCTTCGGACTCTACGCCAACAGAGTCATGGATGTGTCTGATTATGTGACGCCACCTCAGGTATGGTCCCCTACCCAGAGAGGCATGCGGATGCCCAGGCGCTGGGCAGGTTGGAGGGGAGAAAGCAGAGCAAAGAGCGCCAGTGGGATTCCCACAGCAGAATCCGTGATGTCACTGATCCAGAGGACCTCTCATCCAGCAGCTGAGAGCTGTGTGGGAGCTTGGGCCTGCAGTGCTAGGCACCAGGAAAGCTGGGTTCCTCTCCAGGCTCTGCCACAACTTGTAGTGCAATCAAGGACAACACACACGGGGGAAGGCGGCCATGTGGGTGGTTGCAAAGAGCCAGCTCTGCCCTTTACTAGCCCTGTGACCTTGGCCAAGTCACTAAACACAAGCCTCGCTTTCCTCGTCTGCAGAGAGGGGATATCAGTTCTGGTCCCTGTCTCACAGACTGGGACTGTTGCATGTTTTTCTCTCCCTTCTTCTCCTCCCAAGGGCACCTCAGTCTTTGTCATCATCACCAAGATGATTGTTACTGAAAACCAGATGCAAGGATTCTGCCCAGAGGTGAGGGGAGGAGACAGAGAGGTTGGGTGAAGCAGGTTAAGGCTGAAAATGTTGGTGGGAGTAGGACTGGTGGCAGGGAGGGGTGGGGTATAAGCAGAGGCCCTAAGTCTGGCCTTGCAGCTGGGACCTGGGACCTCCACCCTCCTGCGGCTGCTGGCTGTGGGGAGGCCACGGGAGCTGAGGGGCTCACCAGGCCAGGACAGGGTCCTTCACCAACCTGTGACCTGTCTGCCCACAGAGTGAGGAGAAATACCGCTGTGTATCAGATAGCCAGTGCGGGCCTGAGCGCTTCCCAGGCGGGGGTGAGTCCAGCCCCTTCCCCACCCCACAATCCCAAGTGTTAGCAGGACCCATGGGGGAGAGCCTGTCGTCGGAGAGGGAGTGGGAACCAGCCTGTTCCATGTCATTCTGCTGGCATTTACATGATGTTCCCTGGGTGCCACACCCAGCAGGTGCTATAAGGTTGGCATGGCCCTTGCCCAGAGGAGCTGCTAGTCTAGGATGGTGGTGACAGACAGGGGTGCTTGAAGTGGCATGTGTTGTCCAGGAGGTACAAAGGACTGTGGAGCCTGGGGGCGGGGGAGAGAGTGCTTCTGGGTGGGTGGTATCAAAAGGCTTCCTTGAGGTGGTGACATTTGGGAAGGTCCCTGAAGATGAATAGGATTTGGCAGGATAGAGGGGGCTTCAAAAAGTGCATTCCAGACAGAAGGAAGAGCTGCAGCACAGACTCAGAGGCAGGGAAGGAAGAGCAAGAAGAAGGGAGGTCCTCAGGGTTGCTGAGCCTGGAAGCACATGAAAGGAAAGCTGTCACCTCCTTTTGTCTGGGTCTGGGGCTCAGGAGAAGAAGCAGGAAAGAAGTCAGCTCCCTTTTCCCTGCCCATTCTTTTCCCCCCATTGCCAGGGTCCCTGATGGGGGGAAGGAAGGGACGGGGGAGGAAGGGAAGGGAGAGGAGCAAAGGGCAGGCAGCCATCCAGCAGCTGTGGCTTCCACTTTAGGGATCCTCACTGGCCGCTGCGTGAACTACAGCTCTGTGTTCCGGACCTGTGAGATCCAGGGCTGGTGCCCCACGGAGGTGGACACGGTGGAAATGTAAGGCTCCAAGACAGATGGAAGGAGACAGGCCCCCACCTCAGCTCCCCTCTGCCCATGTGGGAGCTGTGCATCTCTGAACTTGAGGAGAGTCTGTGACTCTCCCCAGTATTGTCCCTTCCTGGTGTGGGGGGGTGGACTCAGGTCCAGGGTATCATCTTCCCCAGCCCACTCACCTGCCTCCTCCTCCCGCTCTGACCCTCAGGCACAGACAGTCCCTTCCTATAGCCTGCTCTCAAGGTGCCCTTTATCTATAAGAGCTCTGCCTTTGGAGGCGTCCACCAGGAAAGGTCGCCCGGGGGTGAAAGCCTTCATTTCCCCCTCTTCCTCCTGGAAAGCTAAGGCCTCCTGTGCTCACCCACAGGCCCATCATGATGGAAGCTGAGAACTTCACTATTTTCATCAAGAACAGCATCCGTTTCCCCCTCTTCAACTTTGAGAAGTGAGTGCCCACTTCTTCTCTAAAGCCAAGATGCAGACGCCCCCAGCCCTGCCACCTTGTTTTCAGGGAAGTGGAGATGCCCCCTCGCCACAGTTCTTCCCACTTCCACTGACCCATCTCCCGGGGCCTCCATTCCCAATCTCCCAGCGGGCCTTGGCCACTGAGGATCAGGGGAACTTTGGGGTCAGTTTCTCTGCCAGCCTCCCTGCCTTGGGGCTCAGATCCAAATGGGAGTTTTGCTTGGGGTAGGAGAGGGACAACTTAGGCCTAGTCCTGGGTCGAGGATGCCTTCAACGGTTGAAACCCTTTGGTCTCGTCCCATTTCTTTTTCCCCACATCTAGCCCATGTGTGGAAATCCCTTTTCTCTTAGTCAGTTCAGTCCCCCTTCATTGACTCGTTAATTCCACAGCTACTCGGTGGGCATTGGCCATGTGCAGAGGGCAATGCCAGGCACTACAGAAGTGCACTAGGCCAGCCTCAGTGGTAAACGCCTATAATCCCTGCACTTTGGGAGGCCGAGATGGGTGGATCACGAGGTCAGGAGTTTGAGACCAGCCTGGCCAACATGGTGAAACCTCGTCTCTACTGAAAATACAAAAAAAAATTAGCCAGGCACGGTGGCGCACACCTGTAATCCCAGCTACTTGGGAGACTGAGGCAAGAGAATCGCTTGAACGTGGGAGGCGGAGGTTGCAGTGAGCTTAGATTACGCCACTGCACTCCAGCCTGGGCAACAGACAGACTCCATCTCAAAAAAAAAAAAAAAAAAAAAAAAAAAAAAAATTGCGCAAAGTAACCAGGAATGATTCCTGCCCTCCCGAACTCCCAGTCTGGCAACTGGAGATTAGTCACCGATGTACATCACCCTGCTACAGGGAAGGGGGTGATGGGGCACCAGAAAGATGCAGGGAAAGGAAAGAGGGGAGAGAGATGGCGAGGTCCAGATGAAGGCTGAGGGTTCAGATCCCCCCTAGGCGTGGAGGGCTCAGATCCCCGCTAGGCGTGGAGGGCCCTGAGGCTCCGGAAGGCGGGGGGCGGGGGCGGGGAGATTGCATAAGACGATCTTCCCATGAACCCTGGGCCGACCTCTCTCTCCGCTCCTCCCCAGGGGAAACCTCCTTCCCAACCTGACAGCCAGGGACATGAAGACCTGCCGCTTCCACCCGGACAAGGACCCTTTCTGCCCCATCTTGCGGGTAGGGGACGTGGTCAAGTTTGCGGGGCAGGATTTTGCCAAACTGGCGCGCACGGTGAGGACCTAGCCATTCTTCCGCGACCCCAAACTCCCCAACTTCAGCCCTTTCCCAGATTTCAGGGCCCTTTGGCCAGCACTGGCCAGGAGCCGCCGCGAGACAGCGCCACCTGGTGGAAGCATCCCGGGCCTGCCACTGGCTTTGTGCCTGAATCCTTTCTCCTCTCCCCACGCGGAGCTGTCTTGCCCGCCCCCGCTCCCGCTGAGCCCACCTTCCTCAAGCCTCAGTTTCCCACTCCTATCTTCACACTTCACCTCAGGGAAAGGCCTTAGATCTGTGGTAATCCCTAAACGATGGGAAAGTAGACCTGTGGCCACTTTGTAGCTAAAGGACTGAAGATCCCAAAAATAGGACTCAGAGGCTCCAGTGTCCGCAGCCGAGCCACAGCCTTTTTTTTTTTTTTTTTTTTTTTTTTTGAGACGGAGTCTCGCTCTGTCGCCCAGGCTGGAGTGCAGTGGCCGGATCTCAGCTCACTGCAAGCTCCGCCTCCCGGGTTCCCGCCATTCTCCTGCCTCAGCCTCCCGAGTAGCTGGGACTACAGGCGCCCGCCACCTCGCCCGGCTAGTTTTTGGTATTTTTAGTAGAGACGGGGTTTCACCGTGTTAGCCAGGATGGTCTCGATCTCCTAACCTCGTGATCCGCCCTCCTCGGTCTCCCAAAGTGCTGGGATTACAGGCCTGAGCTACCGCGCCCGGCCACCACAGCACTTCTTTACTGAGCAGCATGTGACACATCACTTTCCTTTCTCCCTGCCTCCGTCTCCCACCTGGAGGATGGGAGGAAATCAATTGTCACGACCTCCACCCCACCCCCACCCTGGCCCAGCGCAGGGAGTCGGAGGGCGAGAGGAAAGCTCATACCCGGCTCTTTTCTTCAGGGTGGCGTTCTGGGCATTAAGATTGGCTGGGTGTGCGACTTGGACAAGGCCTGGGACCAGTGCATCCCCAAGTACTCCTTCACCCGGCTGGACAGCGTTTCTGAGAAGAGCAGCGTGTCCCCAGGCTACAACTTCAGGTAATCCCCTATCTCCTGGGACATCAGGAGAAGAAGTTGCGGGCTGTTCTAAAGAACTTTATTTCAAGCAGCAATGTTTATCGGGGAGACAAGGTCCCACAACCATCCACTCACCCCCGGCGCCAAGTCCCACCTCAGGTTTCATTTCAAATCAGGAAGGACTCTGGAACAGCCATTAGGGTCTAGCTGGGTGTCCTGGGAGACAGTGTCTCCTTATCACTGGAGGGGACCACACCAGGGATTCCTGCTGCAGGTCAGTAGTTAGAAGAGAAGGCCAAGGTCTCTTGAAATACTGGGGTTTTGCGATTCTTTGCCTGTTCCTAACACTGGCCTGAAACTGTAACGTGCTTAAGTGACTTCCAGATAGGTGCATTCCCTGCCCTGGGCCTGAATTTTCTAAGGTTTCTCGTTCTACAAAGTAAGGGTGATAACTGGTATCGTTTTACATTTTACAAGATGGCACTTTTGCGTGTCTGTCCACAAACATGTGTCACCAATAGCAAATTATAATTGTCATTGGCTCTTCTTCAATGCCTCTCCAAACGAGAACTCAGACCAGTCTTTAAATATCATCCCAATGGCTTTGAGACTTCAGGGATCCTTTCAGGTTTTGTTTTGTTTTGTTTCTCCATTTTGAAGAAAGGGAGAGAGGAATCAGAGAATAAACTGTTTGGAAGCAACTGAAAGCGCTTGAACAAGCCATTGGTCTTCTCCCATCCTAATTTCCCCATCTCTGAAATGGTGATAGTACTGCTGTGATCTTCAGGATTCAATTAACCAATGTGTGAAAAGCTTCAGCTTTCTGTTTTGTTTCTCTCCTACTTTTTTTCTGAATCATTCGTTTATCGATTAATCCGTTAAACATGTACCAATTGTCTACAACATGCTAAGGACCGTACTCAGTTATCTTAGGTTAGCAGTTCTCAAAAGTGTAGACCACAAGGTCAACACTACTTATTAAAAGTTTTATTTTCTTTTTAATTGATAAATAACAATTGTGTAGATATATGGGATACAATGTGATGTTTTGATACATGTATACATTGTAGATTCCCCCCAATTTTTGAAGATCCTGAAGTTTCTGGCGGGGCCCTGTTTAAGTACACAACATTATACACTAAACAGCTTAAATAGACTAAATAGGCTGTGACCAGGGGGAAAAATACATAAGAATATATTTCAGTTACATTTGAACATAAGAATATACATTTGAATATATTCAAATAATTGTTACTCATATTTCCTTTGTTGAGGTGGTATTCTCTGATACAATGGCATACATAAGCCAAAAATAATCATTTCACCTTTTTAAAATGTTAATTTATCACTTAAAAAATAATCGCCCACCCCATTAAGCTTTATATTTAATAGTTTAAAATATACATGTATATTCTCTGGAAAGAAGAATCTTTAAAAATTGAAAGTACTTTCATAATCAACTCCAAACTTTAAAAAAACCATAGGAAACAACACATATTTTAAAGTAGGTTAAAAATACTGTTCGGCTCACTGGCAGAAATTGGCATATTTATTCAGTTGGTATATCACACTGAGATCAATACAAAGGATATTTGTATGGTGGCTTAAAATAGTAACATATTAATAAAATTCTCTTGATCTAAAGTGCAAGTTTTCATCTACATAACTTCCCTTTGGCCATTGGGAATTCTTTAATCCTCCAAATAACTCATTTGGCAGGAAAGCTTATGAAGAATGTGAATATTATAAAGACCCCCAACTACTGATATCATACAGTTTTAGAACAGCATCTCTCATCTAAAGAAAAATTGGTCTGGAGTTCTTCATCTCCAATTTCTTGCACTGCAGCTGCCTTCCCTCCCTCCCCACCTGAGCACAGAAGGATGTGAGCTAGACCTGGTCCTAAATAAGCTTGGAGGGTATTTGGGGAGGCAGGACAGAGTATCTCCAAAGACCCTGCCTGCATAATACCCAGAGGCCTAAGAGAAACCACCCCTTCTTAGGACCTCAAATAATTGACTCCTCCAACAATGCCCTCCAGGCCAGAGAAGGAGGCAAAGCTGCTTAGTTTGACCCTTGCGATTTAAAAGTTTCCAGAGGGCCAAAGTAATTGCCCTGACATTGGGAGATATCTGATATCCGTGGCAAGCAGAGGGCTCTGCCCAAGCCCCTTCCAGTCCCTTCACCTGGGTGCCCACCCACCACCCTCCTGTGACCCTCAAACTGCTGGCACCCAAGGCTAAGCTAAGAGCCCGCATGTGGGAGGCTGCAAAGCCGTCTTTCTGAATCCTCGAATAGGAGAGAGGGTCACAAAGCCAGGTTCAGTGTGGCTCACAGTGCACTTTCTATGATATGGTAACATTTACACTGTTTTTTAGAATCTCACCAAGCTACTTACGGGTAGAAACCATACTAGTCACCCTGTATGCAAAACGCTTTGTGTGCTTCAGCTCAGCGTTCCTTGCCCGCCCTACAAAGTAGGTGCTACAATATCCCCTGCAACTTTACCGAGGAGAAGATGGAGCCTCACTGTTAGATAAGGTTCTCAAAGTCACAAAGCAAGCAAGAGGGGGAGCCTGGATTCAAAACATATTTCTTTGGATGATCTCCACCCCAGCCAGGAAGACTAGGGACATTTGTACTTGTTAATCCTCAGAAAAAAAAGCCTGCCTATGTGGTTGACACTTTCATCCCTGCTTAAAAACAAAGAATCCAAGTTCCAGGGAGATTTAAAGACTAGCAGATGCTGGCGGTGCAATTCATAGCCTGGCCTTTGTCTCCCAAACAAATTCATTTGCCGCTCCCTCCAACAGAGGCAGAATTTTCAACACCCCTACTGTTGCCGTTTGCTCTGGAAGGAGTGGAATTATTCAGCCAAGATTCGGCCTTGTTTGAATCTGCTAACTAAGACATCCAGAGGCAGCTAGAGATTCACATTTCCATCACTAATTACATTCGCAGCTCCCTTCCAAATGTCACTCCCCCCGCCCCTACTTTTTGTAGCTTTTTGCCTGCAGAATCAGAGATTTTGAGAATTTATAGCTGTTGAAGTTCCCTTGCAGTCACCCAAAGTCAGGTGGTCACTTTACAGATGAGAAAGCGGAAGTTCCAAAGGGGGCATCTTAGAGTAGCCTCAGAGGTCATTGGATCTCAACTCCTAATTTGACCCCTGTGATTTAAAAGAGTTTATAGAGGGCCCATGTAATCACCCTGACATTGGGGGATCTCTGATATCCGTGGCAAGCAAAGGGGCCTGCTCCAGTCATTGGAAAGGTGACCTCAAATTGAGCCAAAATGTTCTCCCTTCAACTCCTCCCTGGCGGACTTGGTGCTGTCCATGCAAATTAACCTTTATTTCTGTGATCCCCTGAAGATTCTGTTCTTCCCCTACCTGAAATTTAGTGGAGAGATTTTATTTTTACTCCTTGGTCTGTTCTGCGTGGCTAAAAGACTCTGTGGGCTGCTTTAACTTAGTATTTTTATGAAGCCTCTTTCCAAGCATATTGAGATTGCAGTCGGTGGGGTCATCTGGATTTCTAGCAGACAAAGTGCAGCAATTTCTAAAAATAAGAACCGTTGGGAGTCGCCAGTTCAGTGGTGCACAAGCGAAAGGCGGTCTCAGCAGAGCCCTGCAGCTCTTCAGGAGGCTCTCTTCTCTGTTGGCGAGATTTCTGAGGCCCGGGTAGACCCTCGATTCACAGGAACAGGACTTTAACCAGAGTACTATGTTTCCCAAAGTCCTGGGAGCAGGTGATGGTGTGTGTGTATGTGCGCGCGCACATGTGAGTTCGTGAGAGTGGGTGTATTTGTTAGTGGGTGAATGTGAGAGGCTGAGAGTGAGTGTGTCTGTGTGTGTGTGTATGCGTGAGTGTATAGGCATTGATGGTGCAATGACAGATTAAAAATACTGTATCCGTCAGGGTCCCCGCAGGAAACAGATGGCACATTCTAACTGGGTAATCTGAGGAGAGTTTAATAAAGAGACTGTTTCAAAGGTGTGGGCAGGGTGGACGGAAACCACACAGGATAGTGCAGTACCAGGGCCAGAAACAGGACACCGGTTACCACCCAGGTCTGAAGAGGCGAGGAGAGGAAGCAGTGACAGGAACATGGAGACGGACAGAGCTGTGAGCAGAGGACAGCCTGACATGTGGCTGTGACTCGGGAGAGCCTCACGGGAAGCCAGAGCTGAGGCAAAGCGGCCCACTGAGGCAGCCGAGGGCAGGGTGAGGAAGGGAGGAGCGTGGACCAGAGGGACAACCGCAGAGATGTCCAGGACAAGTCCTGACGACTTTCATCTGTGAGATCACAGCCCTTCCTTAACTTTCAGAGGTCTCTAACTGCTTTATGCCCCCGATGAGAAGTGGGGAAGATGCATCCAAGGAAGATGCACATATTCACAGACATGAGAAAATTCGCAGGCAAGTTATATTCTTAAAGGATATTTTCTTTCTTTTTTCTTTCTTTCTTTTTTTTTTTTTTTTTTTTTTTTTGAGACAGAGTCTTCTTCTGTTGCCCAGGCTGGCGTGTGCAGTAGCTCAGTCTCTGCTCACTGCAACTTCCACCTCCCAGGTTGATGCAATTCCCCTGCCTCAGCCTCCCCAGTAGCTGGGATTACAGGCACCCGCCACCACGCCCAGCTATTTTTGTATTTTTAGTAGAGACAGGATTTCACCATGTTGGCCAGGCTGGTCTCCTGACCTCAAGTAATCCACCCACCTTGGCCTCCCAAAGTGCTGGGATTATAGGCGTGAGCTACCACGCCTAGCCAAGTTATTTCATTTCTACAAATAAGATATAAATACATTCTCGGAGAAATAAATCCGAGCAATTCTGTTGTATACAGAGTAATGACATGGGAAGTCCCCTTCATTCCCTAGGCCTGCACCCTTTGCAGGGAGTTAACATCTGGGACAGTTTAATGAGTTTCCTTCCAGTTCTTATTCTATGCATTGATATTTATACAGCATAAAATTCCAAGACTTTGAGGCCCTCTAAAAGCCTATCCCATAGCCAGGTGT